CTTAGAAATAGTTCTAGCTACATATGCATAGTAGTATTAACAAATCCACTATTCTGATTGGTGGGAATATTTTTTGACAGTGAAAAAGTTCAACACGTTGGACTGACAGTGTGATTTGCTAAACAAACATTCACCAGAAATGATATTGCTAATGATGTGAAATTTGTTTTATGTTTCATTCTGTGTGAAATACCCTTTAGTGTATGCAGGGCAGAGTTTAAAAGAATTTCTGTAATTTGCTTAACTGGAAAATATACTTTGTTACGATTGTACCAAATACATTTATGTAAATATTAAAATTATTGAATTAGGTTATATTTTTGATTAAATTAATGCAATAAAAAACATGCCAAATATCCCCAAAACTGGTAAAACTATTTAATAATATGAATGTTTTTGTCTGTTACTTGTTAATTTCATCAGGTATATATTAAAAAATACCAAACAGAACAGCTTTAAGTAGTTGAACACATTTAAATATAAAGGTTTGAAGTGGTTTGAATCACACATATACACATTGGTACAGTGTTATCAATCTAACACACATATGTTTAAAATATATTTGAAAGTGTTAAAATAATTCATTTGATCAAAATATTTCAACAATATTACATTTGATATTAATATATTTATATAAAATGAAATTATATTTTTTTATGTGAAATGAGAAGGAAATTGTTTGATAAGTTACTCCGTTCTAATTAAAAACTAAGATAAACAAGTGTAATTGGAGGAACTTTTTATATTATTAATACATATTAGTTTTATTTTAAGAGGTACATAAATTGCCCTAATACATTTAACAGTTTAATCATAAATTTTGAACAAGATTACTCGATAGTTTCAATTCAGAAAAAAGCTGTTAAACTGCTGATAAAGTTGTCATTCTGTAAGTTTTTATCAGTCATCATTTAAAATTATTGAATGGAATTTAACTAGGAAGTTGTTTTGAGATTGTAAATGAATCCAATCATTTATCATCACTTAATTATGAAGCATTTATAGAACTTAAAATTAGAAAAGATATTTTTAATTATATACAAAACTTCATTGGATAATTATTTGAATATAGGAATTATTCATATACAAAAATTTTAAGTTGTTTTCACTTATTATCTCTTCAAAAGTATGAAAGTTGAATGAATAAAATGTGATATATATTGTTGTGAATATATACAGGGTCTTCCAAAATGAATGCTACCATTTGATATCATTGTAATTATGTTAATCTGAGAAGTATGCAATGTACACCAATGTACCCATCCAAGTTTTATCTCCAATCTGCATCCAAACATCTTGTTGCTTACTATCTGTAAGAAGCACCTTAAATGAAAATGGTAAATTCAAAATACAGATGTTTGTGTTCTGCAGTTTTCAAAGTTGGAACCACTCATCATTGTGCAGCAAGAGTAATTTGCAAAAACAGTAGAATTGTAGCTGCATTGTGAGCAAATATTGGAAGTATTTGAGTATCAGCCGAATGTGTATACATTGAGAAGTTGTCATCACAACTTCTCAATGCATCCGGGGCACATGTGAAACTTGGAGCATTTTCCAATGCTTTAATTTATATTAAAACATTCTAAGATAATAATGAGCAATTATTTATTGTGACATTGTCACAATACCAGGCTGCAATTTTTAATTTATTTCATTTAAAATATATGCTGTCCACCTCAAAGTAGTAGCGGCTTGCTCTTGTACATCATACTTTTCCTTTAGCAATGGAGTCGTGCTGGTCATCTATATTAGTTTTCGGAGGAAAGGTTTTGAATTGAAATAATGTGACTTCTGGTTTTCATTGGAAGTTCACATATAGTTAATCAAGACTGGCTGCCCCCAATTTTTCCATATCTGGTCTCGTCTTTCATCTATATAACTTGTTCTCAAGATTAAGGAAAGACAGTAATGAAACAGTGGGAATTTTCAAAATTGCAGCCCAATTAACATAATTACAATAATTTAAAATGGTAGAATTCTTGTTGGAAGGCTGTGTATCGTTTTCTATAAAAATTTTCACATCAAAACATTGAAAGTAATCAACTTAATTTACAATTAACTTATTAAATTAGTAGGTTGGAATGTGTTTGGTTCTCTCAACTTATCCATTGCAGATAGGAACGTCAGATTTTGTAATTCAAATTATATTCTTAACAGTAGGAATGTTAACCAGAAACAGCAACTTTTTTTTTCTTGTATAGATTTATTGGAGGAGCCAAATAATGTAAATGTGTGTTAAATAAAAGTGTTTGCTAAATTTTAAAGTTCTGTGGAACTATTCTTTAATTGATTATTTTATGAAATAAAGTAAACCTTAATTAAAAAATCCAGCAATGAGTTGCTTAACTTTCCAGGCAAGATTTAAAACTGCATAAGTAGGCCATCTATTATGATATTTTATTATAAAAACTTTTTATATTTTTAGTTATTATAAAATGGAAAAAAGTTTAATTTTGAGGGTAGGGATGGGTTTTATAGAAAAATTGTAAATGCTAGTAATGGGGAAAATCGTCATTAAATCCAGCTCTACTCAAGATTTGACACACTATCTTCTTTATCTCCCCACCCCTCGACCTTTAACCACCAAAATTTAATAGCATCAATTCCCTAATACACAAACCTCCCTGCAAAATTTCAGAAATTTTTGACTAAAAGCAAAAAGTTATTAAGCTTCAAAGAGGGTGAACAAAATCATGCCCCACATGCACACACGCACTCTAACATCCATATATACAGGGGGAAAAAATTTTTTTGCATTTCTCGCATTTCCAGGTCCCGTGTCCAAAACTAAATATCTTAGGGGGTCGTTTTTTGTCCAGTCACCATACTTTCCCTCTATTATATATAACAGAGCTGGGAAGGTAAAAACAATAATCATACATGCAATAATTATATATAAAAGTATTGTTCTTCCAGGTGTAGAGTAGAATTTTTTGTAACAAACGAGTATAACAAAATTATCAGTATATTGAATATGTTTTCAAGTTGCCACTTTACAATGCAAAACTACTTGCGTAACGAGAATATCACTCTGATAAAAATTCAGTTATTTACAAAAGAAAGTAATCATTATAACAAAATATGTGAATATAAAATTGTGTATTGTTTTTTAACTCACTCCTGAGGGCACTAAATAGTTTTTTACATCAAACTCTACAACAAGACTACAATAGGGACAGCCATTTGGCAAGGAGACAAAGTACAGTACAATCTTTCCAGTACAGATTTCTTATTAAAGGTTTCCGACTCAGTTTTGAACCTGGGTTCGAGTCTGGATTGGCTCATAATTTTTCAGTGCTGGATTCACCCCATGTCTTACTGGCTAAGTATCTCATTGTATTCTTGGCTTGTAAAGTGAACATCATCTATGTAATTCTGTGTTGGCTAGATTGTTACTTTATGCAAAGCTTACTATATATTTGTGTGTTGTTTATGTTTAAAAGATAATTTGAAAGGAGGTGTAAATTATATGCTGTTTTTAAATTACAATTAAGAACACTACACTACAGACTAACAGCTGCTCGTACAGGCACAGGATAGGATATATGATAGAACAGATTATTTGTAGGTTTTATGCATTCTAGCAACTTTCTGTCAGGTTATTTTCCAATGCAGGTTATGCAGATAAAAATACAGTAATAAGTGCTTTTGACTTTCATTTTAAAGTAAAAGTAATAGTTGACAATCATTACAGTTTATTTTTTAACGGATGATGATATAACTCTATTGCTTCTGATTTAACAATAATTCATACAGAGAGATGAAATTACCAACTTTCATGCAATAACAAATTACTTATTAAAAATTTATGAGTAATAAAAATAAAATTGTTAAACAGGAATACACTTAAACCTTGTGCAAAGCAAAAAAATCCATGAATGTTATAAAATATAATAGAATAATGGATAGATATGTATGTATTATACATATATAAACTTGTTAGGAGTATTAAGTACTGGGGTTGGATGTCACGCCAATGTTTGATTGACATATATAAACTTATACATAAACAGTTCTAAACACAACTTGCAGTTAATTCAAACTATCTGCCAAATTATGAGATGGCAGCATAACTGACTACTCTAGATGGATTATTTAGTTTCTAATCATTAATTTAGTTGTACAATAGCCCAATAATTTGTCAGATTATTTGGTTTGTAACTTGACTTTACCTCATTAAATTATCTTGAATGAATACGAACTTTCATTTTTTCATAGATAGATAAACATACAGCAGTATTAACAAAAAAAGTATCAAAATGTATGATTGGCTCCTGAAAAGTTTTGTCATCTCTCTGATCTGAAACATCTTGTGTATCTAGTTGAATGCATGCAATCATGACTGAAGGAAATTGAAGTAAACTTCATGTGTACAAATATATAAAGAGAAGAGCATTTGTATTGGATTTAACAGTCAGTTTAATGCTTCATTAGCATTAATAAGGGTTGATGAAACACTTCCAGCTGTTTGAACAGGTTTAATGCATCTGTGTAGTTTTGATGAAGGTTGTTGAAACTAGCCGTTAATTAATTTCCTATTCACACTCAGATTCTTTAACTTTATAAAGTCAACACACCTTAATACTGAGAAAGCTCATTTATTCAGCCAAACAAACATTTTCAACCCATTCCATGGGCCATCATCAGGTTAAAGACATTTGAATCAAGAAAAAGCCATTGATTCAAACGTCTTTAACCTGATGATGGCTTATGGAATGGGTTGAAATCATTTGTTTAGCTGAATAAACAAGCTTTCTCAGTATTAAGGTGTGTTGACTTTATAACATTAATTAATTAATATCCATAAGGTAGGAAGAATTAAAAGGGAAATGAAAATATTTTGCTCATTGGGCATCAATTAAAACAAAAAAAAAATTATCTTTAGCATTATACTTAAATATTTTGAGTGATTATTAACTTCAACAAATAATTTGAATTAAAGTTATTATTTTTATACATTAGCATCGATTTGATTCTTATGAATTATGAAAGTCAAATCTCCAAAGATACATATATAACATGAAGTCAGGAATTTATTATAAGATAAATTGATACAATTGATAAATTCTGAGATTGTTTCTTGTATAATAAATTTTAAATAACTTTAACTGTTTAGTCTCAATAAATTAAATGTTGTGTAATTCTCTATAAAAGATCGGATAAGTTATGGATGATTTTTCTTACTTGTTGAATTATATCCTAATTTTAGATCTGTGTGATTCTGAAGAAATTAAATTCAGATATTTGATGCTCTGTTAATCACAGCTGTATTTAAAATACAGTTAAATCTGTTTAATTTGAACTTGATTAATTCAAATTATTGGTTAATTTGAAACTGCTTTATCTTGTAATTCAAAAGTGAAACACGAAAAGAGAATGCAGCGATTGTTGAAATGATATATAGATTGCACTCTGTTCTGTAAGCATATGAGGCGTAGGTGGAATTGTCACATTTGATAGTTTTAATGACATTTGAGTAACATTGCAGTGCATTTTTAGAAACGTTTATACAACATCTAAGCATGGAATGGGTACAAGTTTATACTTAGCCAAAAAGTCAAAGTGATTAAAGTAGAAAAGTAAGTAAAAGCTGTGATATTGTTACAGAATATCGAGTATTGCAGAGCACTAGAAAAAACAGGTAATTTAAAGTTTTAAGTTAAATTATTTTTTATTATATACTAAAATATTTCAATTTACAAATGTCAAATTTATCCTTATATAGTAAATTTTTCCTTATATAGTAGAATTTTAATACAAGTAACTGCTTTTTGACACTTGATAAATTGGGTGTAAAATGCTATTTCAAAGTCCCAAATATTGTTGAACTTCTAGATGGATTTTTAAAGGAACAGTTTAAAAATAAAACATCATAATGTTTACGTTAACTAGCAGAATTGGATGTTCATAGCCTGAGCAATCAATGCTGTAGCCACTTACCTGTGAGGATACACCATCTATAGAACCAAATAAATTACATTCTGATAATTAACATAACATACAAAGCTGCGAAACATTCCTGATAACTGTAGTGGATGTTCATAGTAACTTATCACAACCTATTCCTGTACTTTATAACTTCTCCAGAGTGTTGGGTTGCCACACTAGAACCTGGAACTGCAGTGTTATGACTTGACCAGAATATTATTCATAGACTTGGTCACAAATATAGATGCAATCTCAATTGGCATTCATAACAGATAGCCAAAGGTCAGTGTAAACAAGGTTATGCATACAGGAGTGGAAAAAAAAAACATGAACAAACACTTCAAGGAGAATTAAAACTGCAATTATACTCAGATTATAGGAATCAGTTACAGGGATATTTCTTTCACATCTGTCTTTTGTGTTCTGTTTATTGATAACAGTAATGTTTCAGGATGTTGTGTGTTATATAAATTGTCAGCAGATAATTTATTTATCACTTCAGTTCTGTGAATATAATTCATTCATTCAACTTAGGTGCATCTGTCACTGGCATTTTGCCAACTCTGTTCAACTCATCTTGAAAGGGCAGCAGGTAGAAAGGATACACTCATTTGTTGTTAGTAATAAATATACAGTATTTGTCTTTTTGTATTTCTTTGTGTACTTCCTTCTTTTATTGTGGAGGATATATTGTATAACAAACCCTTTTGCTGTGGAACAAAATACACACAAGTGATTTTACACAACATCCCAGATCATTCAATTCTATAATGGGGAAACCAAAAAATACAATTTTATTATTCCTGTAGCTCATCACTACAAAGTATGCAAGTAAGATTGCTGGAATGTCATTGTCAACAATTAAAAGAAAATGCCAGGAAGCAGGCAATGAAAACAAGCCATATTTTACTTTGTTGGTAGAGTTCATTCTTGAAACAACAGCATTAGCTAAACCAGCACTAAGTTGCTCAACATCAGCATTTAAAATTTTGGTAGTGCCATCTGTTGTTATAGTTTATTTTAAAAACTTTTTATATTTTTAACTATTATAAAATAGCAAAAAACTTAATTTTGAGGGTAGGGATGCATTTTATAAAAAATTGTAGTCATTAAGTCCGACCTTACTCAATATAACACATGACACCCTTTACCTCCCGACCTCTCGACCTTTAACCGCTAAAATTTAATAGCATTGATCTCCCTAATAAACAAATCTCCCTGCAAAAATTCAGAAATTTTTGACGAAAAGCACAGACGTTATTAAGCTTCAAATTGGGTGAACAAAATTGTACCCACCTACACACATCCGTACATACAGAAATTACCCCCAAATTTTTTTGCATTTCTTGATGTTTCGAGGTGTCTTAAGTCCAAAAATGTGAAAATCTGGGAAATCATTTTTTGCCAGATCACTATACTTTCCCTCTGTTATAACAGCCGTGAAAGTAATAGCTGTGATTGTGATTTGATTAGAACGACAATCCATGATTTCTACATTAAAGGGAAGAAAGTCATGTCAATTCCTAAACTACTACCAGTCTTAAGAGATTGATTTTCCTTGGGGAAAGTGATATGCCACTTAAAAATATTATAGTTGTTAATGCACTTTGTGATTTATGCATCATAAACTGTAAGACCACACACAAATCTCAAGCTTTATATAAATCAAAACATTTATGTTTATGATTGATTTGTATGTTGCTGTGAAAGTCTGTAATGCTGCAAATGTCAACAATAAGCAACAACTGTTGGCATTTACCATTAAATGTTGTTCTTGAATTTAGTAATTTATTCAACATACACGCACATCCAGAATCGAAGGATGGCCAACACTTGTATACAAATGCAGACAGATATGGCAAAAACTGTATTACTTGACTTCTAACACAGGATAATACACAACAGCTTGTGTGATTTTACAAATCAAAGCAATAGCAGTAAGTCCTTGGTGAAAAAGATACATAAAGCAGTTAGAAAATGGATGTAAAGTGCTCAGCAATATCCATGCGGAAGACCTTTTACTATGGAATATTTTCCTTGAACTGCGACACAGCACTTGTGAGATTTTGACAGGCTCATCATTGTCTGGCTCCATGACTTTTTCTAGCCATCACCTCAAGCAGTCGTGTTCGTCCTTAAGTTTTAAACACGTGTATATGTTTTATTTTACTTATCAAAATTTACTATTTTATTTCTGTGATGAAATAGTTTTATTTTATAAATCAAATGAATCTTTACTATCAATTTAAGAATAAATTTAATGAGATTTCATAAACAGAATAATTCTGCATTCATTTAAAGTGTTAATTGCAATCTCAAAAAAAAATTTAAATTTATACTCTGTTAATTGAATTCTTTGTTTTAAAATATTAAAAAAAGTATATTTAAATTCTTAACTAAATATTAATTTCAGTTTGTTTTGAAATATTTTTCATTCCTTTGCTTAAATTTTTAAAATTTTACAAACATTTCTAATGCAGTTGTGTGAAGAAATCTTTTTTCTGATGTATTGTTTAAAAGAAATGAAAATTTATAGATATTTATGTATTTAAAAAAACTGTATGATGCTTTATAATTACTTCCAACTGTCATCTGCGATATAAATTTTCCTCATTCTGTCTGAAGTTGCTAAACATTTCAAACGTTTCCTCGTTTTAAATATAATGTTTTTTTGTCTTCTTACACTTTACATATACAATAGAATGTATTTTTATATAAGTATTTTTTACAAATCTGTGTTTTGGGCTCTCAATCATCTAGTTTTATATTGGAAAATGGGTTTGTTCAGATATTTATTACTGTAGGATTTTTTTTTTCAAGACAATCGAATGAATATTATTTTTTAAATAAAAATTTAGGCTCAAACATACTAATGATTTTTGTTTATTATTTCATTTAGCTCATCTTTCAATTTAAATGCAGAATTATATTTTTTTTTAAATTCACATAGTCTACAAGACAGTCGATGCTTGTATAGCGTACAGTGGTAGAGTTGTCTCCTCTCTTGACAAATCAAATGCTTAGAATGCTTTCTTTATTAACAAACAGAACTCTTAAACATTTTAATTTTTGTCACTGAAAAAACAATTTATAACTAGTAACCACTACAGACACCCAAATCTTCTCCGAGCTGGAGAAAAAATCCCATTTTCCCTCTTGATGGCCACATTGCATGCATTATACATTTATAATACTTCATATGTTTTTTTTTAATTATATATTTAAAAATTTATTGTTATGTTGACGACAATAAAGTTTAATTTTCTAAGTAGAGGGATGCACATGGTGCGTAGCTCTTCTTCAATCGTCTCTTTCAGCATAGATCTGTTCAGAGCCTTGTCCAGTTTCTTATAGTCTCAACTTTCTTCTTGGTATATCTCTTCTCTATTCAATTATATATATATACTATGTAAAATATAAATTTAACTTTAAAGATTAAAATAAGACACAAAAATCATTTTTACCATGTAAACTCATGGTAAGAATGATTTTTGTCTTATTTTATTAAGATTAGACTATCTTCTACTCACAAAATTAACTAATAAATATAATTTGATACTTAAAACTGCTTTGTATGAAAAATAAAACAGAGATGATAATTAATTTTGAATGATTAAGAACTATCAAACTCAACACTTTTAAAATTCCAGGGAAAAAAAGAGTGATTTAGTCAAAATAAATAAATAACTATTCATTGAAAAGATACTTTATCATAGAAAAATTGTTTGCTACTTTGAATTTTCTTTAGATTTTTTGAAACTTTAAAAGTGGAATGCTATTTTAAGAATATTAAAACTTGAAAAAGAAAAAAATGAGAATATAAATTTTAAAAGTTTCTTGAAGTTTCCTCATTTACCAGAAAAAAAAAAAATAGAACATTAATATTCATACATTTTAAGGTATAAAAAGCTAGCAAAATCTCTTTCAAAATATGTATACTGTATTGATATTTTTGATATTCTTATTCAAAATGTCATTTGGTCTTTTTACATTTAGTAAATATCTCTTGTAAATGTAAGTCACCTATTTATTTGTAGGAGATCATTAAGACGCCGAAAAACCACTCCATTATTTATAAAAATAATAGCTTTTACAAAGTAAATGACAGCTTTATCGATTGCCTTTCTAACTTTAAAATGTGATACAGTAGAACCTCCATTATCCGGACCTCCATTATCCGGATTTTCGATTATCCGGATTGTTCAAAATAAACAAAAATTTTACGAATTTGCTGATTTGCACTTGGCGAATTACGACACTGTTTATGTACGTGATGGAATGCATAACTTTTTTTGTTTCAACAACGTCTCACCCAGCACAGTGGTCGTAAACTCTTAAATATATTTTACGTAGTAATAAAAATATAACTTGACATACGTATTTATAAATAATTTATATTCAAATTACATCATTTCTATGACCAAGGGCGGCGTAAGGCATGGACGACGTGGGCCACCGCCTATGCCTCGCGGTCCGAAGGGCCTCGCGCCTCGAAGGTTTATGCATTACTTAAAAGCCGCGAACGCGACGAAAAAATTTTACTCGTCATAAAACGATAAATAGTTTGTCAAATTTTTATTCATAAAAATGCAGTTTCAACTGTTATTTTATTTTATAAAATCCGTCTTCTTGCGCCACCAGAGGATCTTTT